TCCTAGAGGAAAATGGAGGAGAAGGAATTGCGATGCGGCCATACCCTCTAGGGGAGTGATTTCTTGCTGTCTGTCTCTTTCTGTCTCTCTGGCAAGCATATGCACCCTAAAGCAAAAATCTCTGTTAAAAAAAAAAAAAAAATACAGTTCAAGGGGGCAAAACAGGCTCGAGATAACCCCCTTTTCAGGACCTACAAAAGCATCCACCAAGCCACCACACATATTGTATACAAGGTCTGAGTAATATAGTATTCATGATATTGAAAAATCACTTCCTAGCCAAGAGCCTCTCCCTCATTCCCACTCTACTGACTAGATTGCCATGCCTACTTCCCTATTAGAGAGATATTCTGGGGCTGTGGGTGCTGCGATATACTTTATCCTCTCAAGAATCTTATAACCCTGTACATGACAGTAAGAGAAACATAAAAATGATGTACAAAATGTAGAGAAATATTCCATAACAATTAAGACTCACATGAATTGGGATTTAAAAAGAAATGAGTAGGCAGGGATTAAAAAATAGCTCCAAGATAACTATTTGGCTTAATATTTCTTGGATATAGACCCCAGGATTAAGTATGCCTTATCCTGGAGTCACATGAACAAAAGATAGTCTCGTATTTATCATGGGCATAAAAAAAGATATGAGTGCCTGTGAGATATTGGTCATACCTGATTGCTGTCCTGATTTATTTTATCATTCACTTTTGAATGATTATTCATGAAGACTACTTTTTTTTGCCTTTTTAGCTACATGACATTGGGCATATTTGCTTGCCAGAGAGACACAGAAAGAGAGAGAGAGAAAGGGAAAGTGAGAAATCAATCCCCCAGGGGGGGATGGCACACAGAAATCCCTTCTGTTTTGCTCTCCAGTCAGAACTTTGGTCATGCATGCAGATGCATCTGGTATGATTTTCAAGCCACTGGGTCCGGAACTCGAATCATGTTCAACCATGTGAAAATCCAACACCTAAACCACCATACTACATACTGGCCCTGAAGACTGTTTTCTATGTGGACTCAAAGATTAAATCTTCTGATCTTCAGTCCTGTCAACTTTGTGATATTGACCTACTCTTTCTCCATGTAGTTTCCAAAACTACCTTTTAAAATTAAACTCGGAATACATTAAAATTGATCAAACAGTTAGAACAACAACAACAACAAAACTTCAGGGAAGAAATCAATTTGAGCTGGATCTTGGAGAGAGGTATTTCTACATGGGGAGAGGGACTGAAGAGGAAGCACAACATAATCAAAGGCAAATGATTGGGTAGCATAGGTCATTTTTAAAAGTCAGATTTTAATTCCATTAGAGTATAGCTTTATATTAAGGAATCATGGCAAATGACGTTTGGTACTATATTATAGAAGACTAAATGCCAGACTTAGTAGTTAGTACTTAGTTGACTGGCAACCAGAAGGTAATGAAAGTTTTGAGCATGGTAATGACTTGCTCAGTTATCAGTGGGGAACCTTCAATGACAGTATATGTAGCATGTAGTAGAGTAAAGAGGAATAATTAGTAAGAGACCAATTAGAATGCTATCAGAGTAGCCCAGGATGAAAAGTAATGAGAACATTAACCAGGCTATTGACTGCAGAAACAGAAAGGAGGGGAGAGATAAAAGAGATATTAGAACAATACAACCAAGAGCATTTGTGAACTGCTTGCATATGAAGGGCCAGAGGCCAGAGAGGCATCTAGGGTGATTGCAGTACTCAGGCCTGAGTGACTGGGAGAGAGGATTTTACTGTTAACCAAAAGGATATTTGTTTAAAAAAAAAAAAAAAAAAAAAAAAAAAAAAAAGAAAGAAAAGAAAAGAAAACCAGAAGTGTGTGTGCTTGGGGATAAGGAATTGTGGTGTGAGAAGAATCTGTCAAAGTTGTCTCTCTCATTATCTCCTAAGTAAAATAAATGACAAAACACTTTGAGGGCCAGCAGGCGACATGGTGGTTAAGCCACTGGACTCCCACATGACCAACGGCAGTTCAAGTCCTAGACCTGGCAGCTTGAAAATCATGCCTGTAATCATGTGTAATCATACTCCGAAATCCCAAGAAGAGAAAGGAGGAGAAGAGATTATGGCATGACCATTCCTCTGGGGTGTGATTTCTCCATTCCTTCTTTGTCTCTTTACAGGAAGCTCATGTATCCTATGTCAAAAATACCCCCACACACAAAAGAAAGAAAGAAAGAAAGAAAGAAAGAAAGAAAGAAAGAAAGAAAGAAAGAAAGAAAGAAAGAAAGAAAGAAAAATAAGAATATATGTTGGGCAAAGGAAAAGTGGGATATGTAGCTGGGGATGTGAATCCCACATTGGAAAACATGGACCTGGCTTTCAAAGTATAGTTATGGTCACATAGGTAAAAGGTGGTTGCAAAAAATTGATAGCGGTCACTGATTGAGTAAAATAAATGCTCATGTGTTACATACAATGAAAGGGGAAGGTAGCAATCTTTCAGATGTTGTACGAATGGGGGTGAGAATATGAAAAATAAACTAAGGCAACTCAATGAAAAGTACTGTGGAGGGGCCAGCAGGTGGCATGGTAGTTGAGTCGCTGGACTCCCACATGGCCAACTACAATTCATGTTCTAGACCTGGAGGCTTGCTTTCTCATTTTCCTTTTCTCTCTCTCTGTTCAAATTAAATAATAATTATAATAAATGGAATTAATTAATTTTCTTCAAAAAACACTGTAGAAAAAGCTGAAAAATAAATTCTGTTCTTATTATAGATAGAGAATTAGTGGCATAGGTTTCTTTTTAATTTCCCCCAAGGGTTGGGCAGAAGAAAGAAAAGATCTTTCCAAGAGAAGAAAAAGACATTGTTATAGCTGCAAACACAACACATACAATTCAGATTAGCAACCTAGAATGCCTTCGAAGGCATATAGATATTTTTTATTACAAAAAGGTAGTTTCTGTTATGTCTTATGTATTAGTCTATGGATTCATGTAAAGCTACAGCAGGTTAGCCTTAAACTGAACTTGAATAATCAATGGATCGAGTTTTTGACATATGCTCCTTTTACTTTAATTCAAAGCATCATTAAATCAAATATGGGATGCATTTTTACTGTCCTTTGATCTATGTCTTCTGGGGATTTAAAATAACATTTCCTATTCAGTCAAAGCTGCATTTACATTGTATATTAAGGGTCTGATTTAACTTCATAAAAACAAGTACATTCAGACTTACTGGTGAAAACATTGACCTTAACTTACCCTATCAAATCCTTCGAAAAATTGTTTTTTTTCATTTTTGTGTGTTTTCATATTTTTAAATAAAATGCAAATATGACAAATCAAAATGTGAACTTGGCTATCTAATTAAGGTGGCCAAAAGAAAGAGCAAATGGGAGAGAATGAATGAACTACAAGTTGAAAATAGGGGAATTACAATATCCTCTATTCATTACCCTAAGACTATTCTTTGCATCTTTAAATTAGTTTCATAATTTTTTTATATGAGGAAAACAATTATGTATTTAACTTCCACTCCTCTTCTTGTGAATCAGGAGGCTAGACAACATTGTAAACCTGAGAATGGTTGTTCTCATTATCTTAAGGTTTCCTGACAGTTACCTTATACCTTATTCTCATGCCACCACATCCTTACCTTGAGATGGCATTCTGTGTTTATGGGTGTACTTTCTAACTAATCTCTCCAAAACTTGACCACTTGTTTTTACTTGGTTATATTGTCTTTTCTCCTTTAAGAATGTTTTTCTTTTTTTTTAACATAAATACTCACTAGTCAAATAAATGTATGGGAACTAATGATTTATTGATTTTTACAGCATTCTTGAGAGTAGCTAGAACTTCCGTTAGCCAATGTTATCCTCCCTCACAGGTAACATGCTCGTTTCGAAGGACTATGGACTATTCACTTTCTCTTCCTAGGCTTTAATTTCTCATTTTACATTTAACATCTATGAAATGAGGAAATTTGTGCACTATTAGCTCAATATTCCTGTGGGTTTAAAATATTTTTAAAAGTTGACTTTAGGGAACCAGCAGTTAGCGTAATGACTATGTCGATGGACTCCCATGTAGTCAACCACGGTTCATGTCCCAGACCCGGTGGCTTAAAACTCATGCTGGGCGCATGTGCGTGCATGCCCAAGATCCCGAGAGGAGAATGGAGGAGAAGGGATTGCGGCATGACCATCCCCCGGGGGGTGATTTCTCGCTTTCTGTCTCTATGTCTCTGTCTGTCTGGCGAGCACACGTGCCCTATAGCGAAAACCTCTCTCAAAAAAAATTGACTTTAAAGATAAATCTCTTAAATCAAAGTCATGGATATCCTAAAAGTGTAAATTGCAGCCAAGACAAGAGAATAGGATGAGAAACCCCCAAGGGAAGGGAGTATATTTTACACTTTATATCAGACTCTCTAGGCAATCCTTGATTCTGCTTACTTGTAAGGTTGATCCTGAAAGGAAACTATGGATTTAGTTTTGCATAAATTTACAATAAAAGATTAATATTCATTAAAAACATGGCTTTACATTTGTTCACTAGAAATATTTTTACAGAGAAAAACATTTGGGATTAAAATCATTCCTTAGCATGCATTTCCTTTTCTCCGTATTCTTTTTCTCTTCTTTTCTCTATTGTCTGACCCCAAATAGTCCACTGTGCCTCTTGGAAGTTAATTCAGTGGTGGATCTTGAGCAAGTTGCTCATTTATGACTGGTAAGCAAATTGAAGAATCATACAATTCAATGGGTTTCCAGTAATGCTCAAAATAAAAACCAAAGGATCTGATGGCATTGGGATTTTTTTTAATAATTATTTTTTTATTCATGATAGAGTGCACACACATGCACAAACATGCCAGAATCCTGGGCACATGCACATGCTGTGTGTTTTCAGGCTATACATGCCTGGGAGATGAACCATTGTCAGCACATGGTTTCAGCTTTGCAGTCTAATACATTACGTGCTGTGAGATTTATTTATCATTTTTTTGTTTGTTTATTCTCAGGGGAAAGCTTGAACGAAGTCCCCCAGTACCAGAAATTATGCAGTCAAGTTTCCCACATTCGAGGAAATTGCAGGGGTTAGCACATCCAGATTGCAATGGATAAATATCACCCTTGGAAAACCACCTTCATGATCATGGTATCTCCCCTGCCAGGTAAGTATTTATTTTGCGTTTCAACATGCATCATTTTCCTGTCATTATTTTTTTTTTCCTATTTCAATACATACCGTGGCTGCTTTTCCGACTAAGTACTTTCAAACGAGTACTGTTTTTCCAGCGACAGAATTAACCTTTTTGAAAGCATACTCACTTAGCAAAGGTTTTAACTTCTGCTTCTGATAAAGTTTTATGGTAACTATAATCTGCTTTGCATAGTTGTTATCCTTCTCTAAGTTGCTGCTAACAAAGATAGTTTGCAGAAGTCCAATATGGGGGGAACCAGCAGTTAGCGTAATGGCTATGTTGCTGGACTCCCACGTAGTCGACCGTGGTTCGTGTCCCGGACCTGGTGGCTTAAAACTCACGCCGGGCGCGTGTGCGTGCGTGCCCAAGATCCCGAGAGGAGAATGGAGGAGAAGGGATTGTGGCGTGACCATCCCCCCTGGGGGGCGATTTTTCGCTTTCTGTCTCTATGTCTCTCTCTCTCTCTGTCTGGCGAGTGCACGCACCCTACAGTGAAAATCTCTCAAAA